TGCTCGAACTTTGTGAATTTTTTTTTAATGGTGATTAAATTAATAGAAGGAGCAAAATGAAAGCCTACAAACTGACAGAAGGCGGAGAGATCACAATATCTGATCTCAAGCCGCTCAAATCCCAGAAAAAAACAACATGAAAGCAGCCCACAAAAAAAAACGACAAAAACAAAGGACTAAAGAGAGTGTTTGGTGGAGCAGGCCACCCCTACACTCGGCCAGTCTCCCAAACACAAGAGGGCCAGACCAAAGCCCCGACAACAAACACAATAGAACCCAGAAAACCAGCAAGAACCTGGAAATCAACACACTCCACCCAGCATCATACACTTCCAAACAGAGCAGAGAATCATATTTTCCTGATATTCTCATTAATTCACTGCACACAGATGCTCTTATCCGCTTTGTTATGGACAGAAATCCAATCCACAACAGCCTTACAAGCCTTCTTAGAAACCACAGTAGCTGGCACACTGATGTCGTTGAAAATGCGTTGGTTTCGCTCCAGCCACACATGCCAACAGATCGAATGAAGAGCGCAATACACAAGCCACAAGTTGACGTTTTAAGGATCATCCGAGGGCCAATCTGGGCGCATTCGTGGTGGATTTTCCAGGTCTGTATGGGCTAACATTTCTAGAGAGTTTGAATGGTTCTGGAAATTTGCTTGCCTTGATCCCGGTAGTGGTTTGGATGTTTCATTTTGGCATGACTGTTGGGTTCCCGGTACTATACTTGCCTCTAGCTTTCCTAGCGTTGCTACTTGAGATCAAATTAAATCATTGCGAATTTCGTACTTGGTACGATGACATTTTGTAGAGGTCTAAGTCAAACTGTGATATTAACCTAATTTGAGTTCAAGATTTTATGAATTTCTTGCTTCTTTACTCTATTTCTTTCGATAATTCATATCGTTGTGAATTTCCTACTTCATCCCCTAGTAACTAAGCTAGTGATCCTAATTAAATTTTAACTTCAAGGTGTCAGGATCAAGACTTTGTGAACCTCTAGTTTTGAAATTCATACTTCCTAGCTACAAGTGCACTCATTAATCCTAGTCGGAGATTTTAAGGAAACCTAATTCCAGCGTTCCTACTCTCACCACACCCGTTCAATAAAAGTCAACTCATAAATTTTGAAGTTTGCACATACTTATCATACTATGTGCTTAAATCAATTGTTAATAATAGGAGTTGTGACACATGAGAACTTGAGTACTTGACTCAAGACCTTTTGGTTAAACCAAACTATGATTTCATGTCTCAATAATTTAAACGGTTAAGAGAGATTGTATATGGTCAATTGGTCATTATACCACTTCCTTGATAAAACCTAATTAATTATTAATTAAATAAAAATATAAACTTAAGCACTTATTTTTCACAATTTCAAGCCATCAATTACACATTAACAACAAACAAACCTTGCAACCTCATGGGCCAACAACAACACCTAATATACCTAAGCGCCAAACTACAGTACATAAAGCCAAAATTGCTCTTGGCCAATTTACATCCAAAAAACATCAATTCCTACAAAAAGGGCAAAGAAATTCACCCCAACAAATAATAATAAAATTTGATATCCTATCCTTTAAATTATAATAATAATAATTATTGCGTATTGTTCCTATTTTGTTTGTACATTTTGTGGGTACAGCTCCACGTGGCACGTGAGAGGAGATGTGGATCCACTTAAGTAATTTGGTGATATTAGTGGGAGATTAGAGGGAAATATTTTTGGAGTTTAATTTATTTATATACCCACGTGGAGGTCGGGGCCCCAAATTGGATGTGTTTGCCAATTGACATCGTCAACAAGACAACTACACGATTGTACGTATTATCATGGAGCTATCAACCTACTACTTAAGCTCAAAAATTGAAAGGAAAAAAACAAAACAAAACCTTCACCTGTTGATGAGTTGGTAATTATTCTCTAATTACAACTGTTAGATTACGAGAGAAAAAAATAATTTTTAATCATATCTATAGTTCACTCGAAATCTGATAGGTCTGAGATCGACATTCACCATGAACTTAAGTATTTGTTCTACGATCATTTAAAAAGTAATTAAAATGCATTGTTACGAAGCTATCAACCTACTACTTTTGCCAAAACCCCTCAATTTTCTTCAATGCCGTATAGTATGTATAGATTGTTTGGATGTGCTTATCCTTGAACTTCCTTGCTGTATGAAAACAGCTAACGTTTATATTCCTTCTTTGTTGTTTGGATTAGGGCTCTATCACAACCAACCTTTTAATTGCTTGTCAGTTTTGGGCAAATTCCGTTTTAGTACCACTACTAAGGCCAAACTAGTACTAGGCCACGCAAAAATGGAAAAAAAGAGAGAAACCAAGGTAATAATATTAGCAAGCAAGGTTTTAACCCGGGGTCGGTCTGGATCGGCCTGGTGTGAAAACCCCGTTAAAACGAGTTAAAACTTATCAATAAACTTTAATTTCATAAAGTCACTTTGCTTGGCTTTTCACAGGTTGTTCTAGTTCATTCAAAATGTCAATTATGAACTTATAGGGTGGATTTAAGTGTTTCTGACTTTTTATTATATGATCGATTCAAGTACTATAACTATTATATTGGTTATTATTACCCATATGTTAGATGATCTTTTCATACATCCAGGCTAAATCGAACTAAAAGAATTGGACAATATACCTTAACTCACTTGCTTGAACGGACCAACATGCTGAATCGAGTTTACATCCAAGCTAAATCGAACTAAAAGAATTGGACAATAAACCTTAACTCACTTGCTTGAACGGACCAACATGCTGAATCGAGTTCACAACCTGATTAGCATGTCAATAAAAATCAATAAGGGGAAATTAATCAATTCTATAATTATATCAGAGATGAGTTATAAATTTTAATTTATTGTTATCTTTAACACAATAATTTAATTATCCTGTCATTTTCACCCGAGGGTAAAAGTCATTGTCATTTGTCAACAGAAGTTTAATCATTGGCCTCTAATATATGTACGTGATGACATGTGCATGATTTGTTGATAACTTTGAGATAATGTAAGAATCTTTTTGTAATTTTTCCTTTTTTACTCTTAAACTTGTTTTTATCAGTGACAGCTTAGCTTACCTAATGGTACATTTTTATCCATTTTATTACATGTAGGCGTTCATTAATTTAACTTATCCATGAAAAGTTCAACTTACTTATAATCCCAAATGCTAGATTAAAAGACAGGAAGATATGATTATCATTGAGCTCTCAGCTCTGATCAATTCTAGATCAAATCCTTGAATATGGTTGTTATCGAGCTAGATGCTTCTTAAGTTTTGACATTGACGTACAATTGTATTGAGCAATTAAACATATGCATTAGATTATAAACATCATGAATCATACACGTAAAATATATTGTCTTTTGTCAAGAAAATCATTCAAGAACGAATTAACAATCACATGCCATTCATATCCCTGGTGATGTATAAATACGGAGAATAAATAAAATTATTAATGAAGAAGAGTGTCTTGTATAACTATCAAATTTACCATATTGGAAACACATACTACTTCAAAATTGGGCCATGATGAATGAAACCCACACCAAATCCCACAATTATATTCCATCATGTAACAAAATAAAAATAAAAAAACAATGGCTAGAAATTAAAAATAAATAAAAACAAAACAGTTTCGTGATCGTGTTAGTGTTAGTGTATTTTATTCTCACCATCCATCATCACAGAAAATATTTTATTATTTCCCACCCTCCATTTTTTTTAATTTCCCCAAACCCCAAAATAAAAAAATAAAATAAAAAATGCATCCCAAATGAACTCCAAATTCACCTCAAATGAAAAAAAGAAAAAAAAAACTTCCCATCGTGTATATATGGGGTCGGATACTATGCTAACCCCTAAAGGGGTAGTGGTTTTTGACACCCTCCTCTTGATTGGTCACTTTTCCATTTAAGCTTTTTACTTTATTTATTGTAATCTTGTAAATTGGGAAAGCCTTAATTGTGATAATAATTATGAATGGGGAAGGAGAAAAACGTTGGTAATTATGAATGGGGAAGGATCTGGGGAAAAACGAAATCACCCCCATTAATTACATAATTAATTTCTCTCACTGGTACATTAATTACACGTACCACTCCACTGGTACACGTACCACTCCACTGGTACACGTACCAGTGGAGTGGTACGTGTACCAGTGGAGTGGTACGTGTAACCATATGTCCTGTTTAGGCTTAAAAAATTGTGAAGACTTTATGTTTATTCACATTCGAAGGATAATTTATTGCTTTTGGCATTGTTGTTGGCATTTCCCTAATTTTGCAACCCATTTTGGAACACAGTTTTTGGCTACTAATGGAAAGTTCCTATTTTTTCCCTATTATTGTTTATCATTGTTATGAAAAATATCATTGCACTGGTATTGTTCTCACTCTAACCTACCTTGTGGATTGCTCGCACCAGTGGAGTGGTACGTGTACCATTGGAGTGGTACGTGTACCAGTGGAGTGGTACGTGTACCAGTGGAGTGGTACGTGTACCAGTGGAGTGGTACGTGTAATTAATGTACCAGTGAGAGAAATTAATTATGTAATTAATGGGGGTGATTTCGTTTTTCCCCAGATTCTTTCTCTTTTCCAATGTGGTGAGAGACCCCAAATTACAAGATTAAAAAAAATAAAAAATCAGTTTAATTAATACTTGCCAATGATTGGAAATAAAATTGGCCAATCATAAAGGGGGTGTCAAAAATCACTACCCCTTTAGGGGTAGTCACGCTAACTGATCCCTGTATATATACACAACCTCCCCTCCAATCCCGCCTTATGAACCAGAAGAAGAAATGGACTCCTGACAATTAATTCCCTCTTTTCCATTTTCCGTTTCGCCCTTTCCATTTCTCTCTTCTGATTCTCCTCCGCCGACCGGAGTTCGCCGGAAAGGGCGGGAACAGAACTGCGAAACCCTTTATGATACCATCGCCGCCGGAACCACCACATGGCGAAAGGCAACAGGAGGTTGACCACCAGCCGCAGCGAGCGCCTGCTCGGAGCCTACGGCGGCGGAGGCTACAGCAACGGCCACCACGCCGAGCCGGAGCTCCGCGAGGAGGACGTGTGGTCCACGCTCCACGGCAGCGACGACGGTACCCGTTTCGATCGGGAGAACGTTTCGCTGAGCGAGTGGAGTTCACGCGCCGGGAGCGAGAGTAACGGCGCGAGCACTTCCATTTCGACCCGCCGGCGAGCCCCACGTACTACCGAAGGCGGCTTGTCGTTGGCTTTCGACGATTCTTCCGATTCACCCTCGTCGGAGAAAATTCAGGCCGCGGCGGCAGCTACAACGGCGGCGAGGATCGTGCACCAATTCCGCGGCCAAGAGATGGCTGGGGCGGGGGAGTCGCCGCGGCGGCAGGTGGCATCGTCGGCGCCGGTGAACGTTCCCGATTGGAGCAAGATCCTCCGGATCGACTCGGTGGAATCGCTGCACGAAATGAGCAACGGCGGAGGAGGGTTCGGCTGGGGCGGCGATCACGACGACGACGACTCCGACGGGATGGTGCCGCCGCACGAGTACCTGGCGCGTGAGTACGCGCGGGGAAGGAAGAGCGGAGGCGCGTCGGTGTTCGAGGGGGTGGGCCGGACGCTGAAGGGGCGTGACCTAAGGCGCGTGAGGGATGCGGTGTGGAGCCAAACCGGGTTTGATGGCTGACCGATCAAATCAACCGCTGGTCCCCCCGCCGGAGAAAAAACCACCAAAAACAATTTTCCTTTCTTTTCTTTTCCTCAATTTTCTTGTTTATTTAGATTGTTTTTTTGGATGTTTTTCGGTTTGGGCGATGATTCGGTTCGGCCGGGGGACGAAAGGGAGTTGAGTCGAACCAGCCGGCGACTGAGCTCAAGCTGTTTTCTCTGTTGTTTCTCCTGAAATCAGAAAAGGTGGGGTTTGGCGGTTGGTGGTCTCGAGGGAATTTCCATAAAGAGGGCTATTTTGGTAAAAAAAATGTTAATGGTAATTAAGTTTGTGAACTATGTTCTTTCTTTCTAATTATTATTAATGAAAAAATTTATGCATCTTTTAATACCAAACTAGCTTAATCGTAATAAAGAAAGAATGGATTTCCACTTCAATGGAAGGAGATAGTTGGTCTATATATAGCACAACTTGACAAAAAGAGTGATGCCACCACTCATGATTCTTTAAATAGTGTCCGTATGTCGTTTATAGATTCTATAATGAATAAATGACGGAATGAGAGAATTTTAAGTTTATAGAGGATTAAAGTTGAATTTCCTGTTTCATGAGAGATAGATTTTGATTAAATCTCATGGTAGTAGCACATTTAAGTATGCGACAAATTGATGATTGTAACGTGTTTTTAATTGACGTAGTAGAATGACACACCTTAACACGATGTGCTGTAAATTAATTAAACTCATCCCGTGGGGTAAATCGACTCTTATAAAAGTCAAGATGCTCTCTTATTCAATTTGTTTATACCTCTACAACCTGCTTGCAATTCAATCGTAAAAATCTTACCAGTTCTTGACATGATGTTACAAGTGTTGAATACCCAACTTATAACTCGACTGGAATTTTTTCTTTTGTCACTTTTAATAAGCAATGTCATTTCAACCATTAGTAAGAAAGAAATCAAAATATATGAATTGAACTGGATGGACCACAATCTAACACCTTTTGTCCAATGGCTCATTGCTTTGGCCATCATGTCACTGCCCTTAACTTTGGCTTAGCTTTTGAGAGAAAGTGATGCGCCCATTCCCCACATCCTTCCATTTAAACTAAACCCCATTTCCTCTCCTTTCCCTGGACCATTGAATTTTGGTACCAAGCTTTCTCTATTCCATTCATCGATCACCATTACTATTTAAACAAAAAGTGTTAGATGCTACCAAAGTACAAGTTCTTTGTTTAGATGTTACCAAGTACAAGTTCTCATGCCATTAAGCATAATGAGGCAGTCCTCTTTTCACATACTTCGATCCAAAATGTAATTATCATCAAACGAGGGTCTTTATCCCTCTGTCGGTCATTGTTTAATTGGCTATTTATCATTCGATACCAATCGGATAAACACAGGTGCTAATAAACTAGATGATGATGCTGCTTTTGTCATGAGTGAAGTGTATTGGGTTTACTCAGAGTGAAGCATGTACGTGTTAAAAAAAATCAAGAAACAACGCTTGCTATATATAATAATGGGGAGGATAATATAGTTTTTTTTATAATGGTGATAATTGCATTAAAAAAGAAAAGAGATGAGAAAGAGTGCAACTCCCAGCTCACAAAGAAACAAATGAAAAGCAGAAAATAGGACAGGAGCACAAGCAGTGCAACCCGAGCTAAGAACTCTAGCGAGACCAAGGGAAACCAAAAAAGGAAAAAGAAAACAAAAGGTTGCTGGACAAACCAAGAAGTCCCTACAACCGGAAAACCAGAAAACAATAAAACACAGAAGACAGCAAACACGCTACGAAACTCGTCGAGCGAATACAAGACACCGGCCCGAAAACTGGCGCAAATAAAGTGCCCGCTCAGCAACAGCCCCTCTGTCCGGCTGCTCAACAACCAGCAGCAACAGTTCCTCTCAAGCCACACCTGAATTAGAACCTCCGAAACCCTCCCATCCTCCTATATCCTGAGCCAGCTCTGTCCATCTGCTTTCTCGACCTTGCCTTGAGCAACTAACCACTCCATACAGTTCTGAACAGCTCTCCTGGACACAACATCAGGCGTTAAGGTCTTCTCTTCGAACACTCTTCGATTCCTTTCCAGCCACACAAACCACCACACTGCGTGCACGATACAATCTTTGAGCCATTCACCAATGTTGTTTGGTTTGGCGTGTGAACTTTGCCTAATAATCATCGCAATGTCCGAGCCTTGAGGGGACAAACCGGGGCTGTATCGGTTAATGTTTCTCCACACTTCTTTCACGAAATCACATTCGACAAACATGTGGAAGGATGATTCTTCATTGCATTAGCAAAGGCAGCACCTGTTAATATTAGACCTGATAATATAGTTTTTTTAGCCAACTTATTTCGAGAGATGAAGACCCTCACTTGACGCTAATTGCATATGGGGATTGAAGTATGGCATGATAGGACTAGACTACAAGTAATTTGATCAAACGAGGCTTTACTCTTTTAGGTCGAATAAACCCCTAAAAGCTTGACAAGAAGGCACCCACTTTTGTGAACTATAATAATGGATCAACAGTACCATATGCTTACTTATCAGGATCATAGTCGTCATTATTTTGTTGTTTAAGCCTAAGATCATGGCCCAAGAGTCAGACAAAGCATCTTTGATTAAGATGATGATGCATTAATCCTCTTATTATTATTCTTGGTAAATTGATTAACGCGATCCAGTTTGGTAACCAAACAGTAGAATTCGGTTTGGGCTGCCTTGGTTTGGTCACCTCTCTTTGTCCTCAAAAGGGTTGTTGTCCAATTCCCAACCAATTCATGTCCAATGGGCCTTCCCAAGTTTGTAGTACTACTTCGAATCCCCTCTGTGGTTTTGAAATTGGGCTCTCGGGTTATTAGTTCTTGGTTCAACAAAATTACTTTTTGGCTATATATATATATATATATCAGCAAAAATTGTTTTCGGTGTCCAGTTCTTCAATTCGATTACTAATTGTTGTTCATGACTTTGCATGTATCAAGAGCCTCCGCTCCTCTTTAAGGAAGCACTGGCATGCATCTGGCAATGATCTTGTGTCTGAGCTTACTGCCCATCACTAACAATTGTTCCTTACACAATCATTCCCAATTCATCAGTAAAACTTCGTTCTCTGCTCTGTTCCTGCCCATCTCTTTGGTCCTTCTGCAACACGAAGGAACCAGTTGGTTTTAATAACGGGAGTTGTTGGGAGAGATTTAATAATTATGGATTTTATGCCATTTATTAACAGCATCCCTCAAAACGAAATCCAACTCAAATGGACGGATATTTGTACAGGTCTGAATACCATGTGTTGAGGATGGTCGGGATTCAAACTCAAGACCTCTCGGTCATCAAATGCCCTGATACCATGTTGAGAAATCAAGAATTCGGTGAAAATGTTGCCTTTTGTTACTGAAATGACGAAAAATTTAGTAATATAGAAATTACTACGATCATTGATGCTCACAATAACTCTAATAATACTAATAAGGAAAACGCCTACCTTTCCGGAACTCTAACACGGAAACCCAAACTAATTTAGGCTTGGACTATACTATATGATAAATTAATGCTATGCCATAATACTATTCATACTACTAATGCTCTAATACACTCCCCTAATTGATTATAACAGCTTATCAACAATTTGAAACCCGGAACAAGAAACACTCCAAATGCTCTAATACACTCCCCTAATTGATTATAACAGCTTATCAACAATTTGAAACCCGGAACAAGAAACACTCCAAATTTCTATAGACTGAAAACAAAAACAAGAAACATTGTGAAACACATAACTACGCCGCCACATATGTCGATGTGGACGAAGACCATACCTCATGTCCTGTAAAACGTTTTCATGGTGATAATCATATTGAGTGTAGGAATGACAATGAGGCAGGTACGAGGCAAGTATCTTGATACCCATACCCGTCCCGTGGCAGGTCGGGTCATTTATCATGGGGCGCGGGTCGGGACAGGTCAACCCAATGAGTATGTAATTTATATGAAAAATATTAGTTATTTTCATTAAAACCCCAAGAAACAAACCATAATATGATAAAATATAGTAAAATTATTGGAGAAAATGAGATTTTCTCTTATTCACAACTTTATTGTAGCTAAAAATATGAGATAATGAAAGAAAAATCGTAAGTAATTTTATTAAAATTACATGTAATTTAGACAAGAACGAGTCGAAAATGGGGCGAGTCAGAGCAGGTCGAGAATGAGGTACCCATACTCGCCCCGCCCCGTCCCAAAATAAGTCAAACAGGTCGGGTAAAACGAGTGAGGTCGAAATTGCCCATCCCTAATTAAATGACAGCTCTTCAGGTACAAAATTAATTGATTCCAATAACTCGAGTTCTCGAGCCGTTGTCGTCATACCTCAATGTCGGCACATCTGGCAATGGAAATTTCAGATCGGGTTGTTGATTTGCATCAGATCCTGTCCTGTCTAACGTCGCCTAGCCAATCATGCTGTTTTCTGCTGCTGCGAGTCAATCCCAACAACTCAATGATGATAAGCTGTTCCCCATGCAATGAAATGGCGGGGCTTTCTCTTCCCAGGTTTAGGTTCTGGGAAACCTTCACAGTTCACTGAACATGATGATGAGAGTTTCACACTTTGACAGACTCACAGATCGTGGGTACAAAAACATCTGTCTTTCGGCGACAACGGTAATTCGCTCCATGCAACCCTCCTCAAACTGCAAATTAATTAAACGGAAGGAGATCAGCTGCTAGCTATAGCCGCCGTCGCGTCTTCCTCCATCCGCCACCGTAGGCCTATCTCCGGCGACGGCCACGGTAAGTCGCTGCCACCTCTCTGTCTCTGTGTCTCTTATTATTATACTTTCAAAACGGAAAAGGACAGGGGAATAGAAAGGGAAGTGGATGATGATTTTGAGTTGGAGACTGTTTCTTTCTGTTTATATAAATAAATAAAAAAATACAAAATTGAATATAGTACCACCGAACTTTGTACAAGTTACAAATTTAGCCAGGATGTTTATAAAGTTACGAATTAAATCCACATTCTTGATTACTAGTATAGGTATGGGTGGGCATTGGGTGGGTCGGGTGGATTTTGACCATAAAATGCACCCACCCGCGCTTAAACGGATTGATAATTTTTAACCCACCACCCACCCACATTTAGTCTCGGGTTGGGTCGGGCGGATGGTGGATGATTTGGGTGGGTTTGTGGGTTCACCCACATCACAATGTATATAATATAAAGGAGTCAACTTGACATGATAATCGGCGAAGAGAGTTATCTGGGGAAACAAGAAGATGAAATAGGGCGAAAAATGTCGAATTAGTTCTTAAAATGGATAGAAATTCTATTATGAAAGAGTTTTCTACATATTGAGATGATTATCAAGAGCAAGGAACTAAGAAAAATAATTCCACAAAGGAAAGAGCAGTGATCTAGGCACAAAAATTAGAGGAAAAAATAAAGGGAAGAAGAGGGGATCGCTATTTGGAAGGTTGACTTTGAGGTTCAAACTCTAGGAGCAGTCCTAGTTTATGTCTAACGTCTCCACTCTCCCCTCTCTAGCGCCGACGACTTTGATCTTTTTGCTGTTGGGTTGAGCGGGTCACCCGCGCACCCACCCACAACCCACCCACCACCCGGCGGATGGCTCCCAGCGCAACCCGTCACCCACCCATAGACCCACCCACTTAACGAAATTCGGGTCAAATACGGGTGGGTCGGCCCAAACCCGCGGATGATCCGCCCGCATGCCCGGCCCTAAGTATAGGTGTCAAAACATAGCCCGACCCGATTAACCCGCCCGATTAACCCGACCCGCAACTCGACCGCAACCCGAATTGACTAAAAGTCAACAACCCGTAACCCGCCCGACCCGCAACCCGATTGACCCGCAACCCAACTAACCCGCAACCCGACTGACCCGCAACCCGACTGACCCGAACCCGATTGACCCGCAACCCGCTTGACCCGCAACCCGATTAACCCGAACCCGATTAACCCGAACCTGACTAACCCTTAACCCGACCGACTCAACCCGAATTTCATATAATCCACTTGAATAATTATAAAAATATACAATACATAGTTTTTCAAAATAAAGTTTTTCATTCTAAACTTAAGTAAAATTATTTTTTTATTTCGTATAGGAAATTTAAAAAATATGAAACTCACTTGATATTACGTATTTTAAGAAAATTACAAAAATTGAAACATGAAGGTCACTTGAGATCATGACAATATTAATATAATATATAAATTAAAATTTTGGTTAATTTAACTATTCAATAAAATTATTAATTAAATATAAATAAAGTAAAGTAATGTATTTGGTAATTTGATGTTTTTAAATGAAGAGGGAAATTTTGGTGTATTCAAGTTTTTGGGAAGAGAAAGAAGAGGGAAATTTGGTTCTTTGAATTTTTTAGAAAAGAAACAAGTGGGAATTTTGGTGGTTTTGATATGTGGGAAGAGAAAGAAGTGGGAAAATTTGGTTCTTTTGATTATGAAAGAGAAATAAGGAGGGAAACTTTTGAGTTTTCAACTTTTTGTAGAATGAAAGAAGAGGGTAATTTGGTTCTTTCAATTTTATGGAGGAGAAAGAGGAGGGAAAATTGAGTTTTCTAATGTATGGAAGTAGAAAGGAGGGAAATTTTAGTATTTTTGTGAAAAGAAAGAAGGAAACAAATTTGGTGTTTTCAATTTTTTGGTTTTTCATAATTTTAGCTTTTGAAATATGAATCTTTAACTTTTATATGGAGGGCATGACTAGTTAAAATTATTCTTATATGCTTTGAAGGCTAACATATATATGTATGTAATTGTTTATGAGCTAATAAATAAATTAACCATTAGTTACAACAATTTATACTAAACTTGATAAGTAATCTTTAACGGTTCGTTGTTTAGGATATAAAGTATATGGTTAGGGTATAGGGTATAAGGTACATATGGTTTAGGGTGTATATGGTTAGGGTATAAGATATTGATGGTTTTGATGGTTCTAAGTTTTTTATTAACATATGTTCAATTGAAGTCATTTGAAATCTTTAACGGCAGGAGATCCCTTTTTAATTTATGTCTATGGTACGTGGTTAGGGTACAAGGTATGTGGTGTAAAGTATAAGATATATGGTTAGGGTATAACAATTAGCAAATATCACTTTTTATCTATGTTTTGAAAATCAAAGTATGAATTTCACTTTTAATTAACTATACTAGCAAAATTACAACTCAAAGACATGTGGTTAGGGTATAGGGTATAGGTTATGTGGTTAGTGTATAATGTATTGATGGTTTAGGGTGTACAATCAACAACATATACTAACTTAATATTGTTGATTGAGGGTAAGGCTAAGTGTATAGGATATATGCTATTGAGTAAGTTATGATTGAAGTAACAATAATTTGACTAAATTTGATAGCTAATCTTTAATAGTTCAATTATTAGGATAATTCGAACAATTTTACAAATAACTCGTTTGACAACAGTTTACTGAAGTTATTTGGACAATGAGTTATTTCGAAATAACTCCTTTTATCACTATGCTTTTGCCAAATACCACACACCAAATACCAGATTTGCATGGTTATACACTTATACTAAACGAGATACTTTAATCCAATTACTATTGAATTAATACTAAAATATCAAATAAACAATTAAGGTTGTCTTTTGGTTGCAAATATTGATATCACCATTACTATTAGCTATAATACTTTACCAATTATGATTAATTACATAACAAGTTTGCAAGTCATACAAATTGATTTAACATTTTGACTAATTTTTTTCAAAAAAAATAAAGTATATATATACGAGGTAGAAATAAATTGGTTAAAAAGTTGACAAAATATTTTAAATTAGTGTAATAAAATGTGTAAGTTGGTAATGAGTAATGAGTTAAGTTACTTTATGCGCTGGCCCGAACAACCCGAAACCCGATCCGCCCGCAACCCGCCCGACCCAAAACCCGATGAACCCGCAACCCGATTTGCCCGCAACCCGATTGAACCCGAACCCGATGAACCCGCAACCCGACTAACCCGCAACCCGTTTGAACCCGAACCCGATGAACCCGAACCCGATGAACCCGCAACCCGACTAACCCGCAACCCGTTTGAACCCGAACCCGATTGAACCCAGCCCGAACCCGCCCGAACCCGCCCGATTGACACCTATAATTACTAGTGCCTAGCATGCCTAGACGTACTTAAGCGTTGGATATAAATGTAGAAACATATCTCATACTTGCCTAGAATTATAAGTTTATATATGAACCAATATCATAGTGTCTGTCTACCTCTCATTTCTAAATCTTTATTAACAACACATGCTAAAGTATAAAACATAGTGTGGAGAAATGATAAACGAAGAAGAAGCTAGAAAATAGCAAAGTAGATTGAGAGAGAAGAAGCTACTCTAAAGATGGTCATCTCTAAGTGTAGCCTAGCGGCTAACAAAACTTGGGAGGGGAAGAAGGAAAAGGGAGGATGGTATTGTGTTTTTTTTCTCTCTAACCTAGTAGAATATCAAAATGTAGAAAAGAGACACCGGGATTTCATTTGGAGACGCAACTAAGTGCTAATGAGGCACCGTCGGTGCCACAACGTGCTCGAGACGCCTTGCCCACTGCTTATGGCCAATGCAAGGTGTTTTCCTTCTGCCTAGCGCCTAAACGAGCTTATGCGAGTGTCTAAGCACGCTTTTACAAATGACTGATGAATACTAAAAATCATCAATACAAAAGTTATAAATTAAGACAATAATGTTTATAAATAATATAATCAATCCTTAAAAGTTATAAACGTTATGCTTAACAAAATTGAAAATCACATTTTTTTTAATAAACCAGAGTGATACAATACATTGTACCAATTAAAATCACATGGTATACAAACTAGAATCACATTGTACACATACTAGAGTGGCGTGCTATACAAACCAGGGTGACTTGATATGCAAGCCATAGCCAAATTGTTTACAAATCAAAATGACATAATGTACAAATATAGATTAACCTAGCATACAAGCCATAATGAAATAATATATAAATCAATTTGACAATAGTATACAAAGCAAAACCATGTTATGTACAAACTAGAGTGACATGATATACAATCGATTTGTTCGTAGCTTGCAGAACCAAAACCCCTTAATGCACATATTAGATATAATTTACACACCGCAACTACATGAGTTACAAACTAGAGTAACATCGTATACATATCAGACTAGCATTAACATACAAATCAAAGCCACATTATTTACCCAACTATAGTGACATAGTATACAAAACATACTAGTATAGTAAATCATAACGATGTTCAGATCTATCGTCTCTCTCATCCTGTAGTAATAATCTATTGAGGGCTTTTGTGTATAGCTATTCTTGTTGAGTGACTGATTGGTAATTGACCAAGAGGGAGAGGTCAATAACAAGAAGTAAGTTGGTTGCGTATGTGCTGGTGAAGATCAAAACAAATAAACATCTGCCAGGGAATTATATTTCTCTTTCTTCTCTGTTTCAATTTCCATCCCAAGCTACCGATCACCCTTTCCCCTTATCTTTTTCCTTTTCTTCGTCATCATCAATACTTCTTCTTCCTCTCCTCCTTTCGAACAACCCATTTCCCGATTTTCCATCTGTGACGAAGTAGCCCCTTTTGATCCCTGTTTCCCCTTCATCCAATTCTTCCTCTTCTCTGATTCTCCTTCAATTGAGTGTCGGTTGATCCTTTTCGACGATTTCAGGAGACCAATCCACTGCGATATGAAACCGAACTGGCGTTGATCGTTGCTTCTGCAATTTGCTTTCTCTCCTCCGGCTTCAGGAAGAGAGAAGAAAGTTAGGAGACGTAACAAAAAGAAGAAGAAAGACAGAGGATTCGAGAATCTCTCAATCGCCTTCTTACGTACGTCTGCCAGAGAATATTTCCTGGGGGTTTCTTCACTCTTTTGTTTGTTTCGTTGGTTGGGTGTTGGAGGTCTCTCAAAATTGATTCGGTTTTGGCTTGTCGGCTTCGGATTCTTTTAGATCGGCCGGAGTTTCATGCTCTCCGCCGTTGATCGGTGAGCCGTTTCCCAGAGATTGTTGTGTTTAGCTTGATCAGTAGGCGTCGGTAAGGTCGGATTGAGATGGGTTTTTCATCTCTGCGCTCCCTTTTTTCCTCTTTTTGGTTATGATCAACATACCAATTCTCAAAAAGAAGCTCCCTCGTATTGTTTTGGGATCCTGTTTGTGTTCCCGCCATTTATGGTGATGAAGGAACTGGTGGTGTGTGGCTAGGATTTCCCCCATCGGAGCCCTTGTTCGACCAGGCGAAGTGGCTCTGGAGAACATTTCAAAGAAATGAATCTGCTTTTGTTGGATGGATTTGTGTTGTTTGTATCGGCGGATTGATGGGGGATTCTGTTTTGCTGATTGTGAGAATTACTAATGTCTTTTTTGAGTATTTTGCCAGTAGCTTTCCAATGTCTGGTTTTGGTTGTTTGTTGCTTGGTTCCTTGTGTTCTCTGCGTGCCTTGTTGGCTTCAGTGCTGAGTTTCCCCATTGGATGAGTAGGGGCAGTATGCTTTTGCATGAAAGATGCGAACTTTACTTGCCGAGCCAAACTGAGGGCCAATGTTGATTGTAATCGCGTTGGTGCGAAGTAAGAGCTCCTTGGAGCAAAGGGTAGTTTGTCACAACATATGTGCATTGGGTTTTACTTGTTTGAACTAACGGTTCATATTAGTTTTCTGCCTTTGTTGAATGTGTTCTGCCATTATTGCTGATCACTGCTTAATTTCCTAGGTAGATGAGCTGGAATTCCATAAGCAAGATTGAATTGAGTTTGCGAGAAAGGAAATTAAGCTAATTTTGTGTCTTTTGGTGACAATGTGATTGCAGGAGAAAGAAAGTTGAAGTCTTTTAGTTCTTCTCCCCCAATTCGGCAAAGTTTCGGGCACTGCAATTCGCCTTCTCCAGCAGTGCCCAATGGACGCCACCGCTAGTGGAAACCCAACGGTTCAATTCCACACCATAACAGACCAACCCATTACTGCAATTGTTGTTGCTGTTTCGAATTCTGCTTCATCCACATTTCAAAGGAACACCCGCCATTGCTATGGAGACTCCACTCCTGGAGAATTCCCCTTGGCTGCTAACCCTTCCATTGTCCTCCACGTCCTCACTGCATGCAATTTGGACCCTCAGGACCTTGCCAAGCTCGAGGCAAGTCATTTCATTTTCCAGTTCATTGGTTCGATTGTGGACCTCACTTTCCTTACTGGTGGATTGATGATGCTGCTGATTTCGTTTCCACCTTAACATTTGTGCAGGCAACATGTTCCTTCTTTAGGCAGCCAGCGAATTTCGCCCCTGACTATGAACTGTCGATATCAGAGCTTGCTGCTTTGGACATGTGCCAGAAAAGGGCAATCTTTAAGCCAATGACAATTGATGAGCGTCAGGATTTGAAGCAAAGATGTGGTGGCTCATGGAAGCTCGTGCTGAGATTCTTGCTGGCTGGAGAAGCTTGTTGTAGAAGGGAGAAGTCGCAGGCGATAGCTGGACCTGGTCACAGCATTGCTGTGACTTCCGCTGGTGTAGTTTACTCATTCGGCTCGAACAGCTCTGGACAGCTCGGGCATGGCACTACCGAGGAGGAATGGCGTCCTCGTATTATCAGGTTGCTATAAAAAAGTAAAACTATGGTCAATGATCCCTGCAGTGTGAAAAATTGCTTCTGACGTTAATGGGGAGCTTGAACTTCACTGTGTTTAACAGATCATTGCAAGGAATTAGGATAATTCAAGCCGCTGCTGGCCCGGGGAGGACAATGCTGATTAGCGACGCAGGCCTAGTTTATGCTTTTGGTAAGGATTCATTTGGAGAGGCCGAGTATGGAGTTCAGGGTTCCAAAATGGTCACAAGTCCTCAACTTGTTGAATCTCTGAAGAACATATATGTAGTACAAGCTGCAATTGGCAACTTCTTTACTGCTGTTTTATCAAGAGAAGGGAGAGTGTATACCTTCTCGTGGGGAAACGACGGAAGGCTCGGTCACCAGACTGAGCCTAACGATGTTGAGCCTCACCCATTGTTGGGAGCACTTGAGAACATCCCCGTGGTACAAATTGCTTCTGGATATTGCTATCTTCTTGCCCTCGCCTGCCAACCTAGTGGCATGTGAGTCTAATAGTCACCTTGTTTGATGGACCTTTGCTCGAGGTTATTTGTGTACTCATGCTGACTTTGTGCTAATGTCTGTGTATGAACCAGGTCGGTGTACTCAGTCGGGTGTGGATTGGGTGGGAAGTTAGGACATGGGTCGAGAACCGACGAGAAGCAACCTCGACTGATCGAGCAGTTCCAGGCATTGAACCTTCAGCCGACGGTGATCTCAGCTGGTGCTTGGCATGCAGCTGTGGTTGGCCGAGATGGACGAGTGTGCACATGGGGGTGGGGTCGTTATGGCTGCTTGGGCCATGGGAATGAGGAATGTGAGTCAGCTCCTAAAGTTGTCGAGGCTCTCGGCAATGTGAAAGCTGTTCATGTGGCTACTGGAGACTACACCACGTTTGTGGTATCTGAAGATGGCGATGTGTATTCGTTCGGTTGTGGTGAATCGGCTAGCCTTGGACACAATGCGGTTGTCGATGAAGAGGTTGCCATCTCTCTCCTTTTTCTCCAGCTTCTACTTTGGTTTCCTTTTGACTTGGTCACATTGAATGAAACTTTTTTAAAAAAAAAAAGAAGCTCTCTTCTAGGTGTCGGCAGCCGTTTTTATCTGATTTTGGTCCTGATCTATTATTTTTTAACCAGTTTTATGCCAAAATTGGTCAAATACTAAACCCAATTGGACCATGTTCAACCTTCCTTTCATCTGCAAATTGATGGTCCATCTTCTTGGTCAGGGATTCCAGTTTTCCATTCAAAGTCACACTACTTGTTTCTCTCCCTTTTGACATCCCAACTTCCGGTTGTTCAAGTGTCAAGTGTGTGGTCTTTTGGTTACTTTTTTAGGTCCATCTGAATTTTGGCAACTTCTTCCCCAATTGATTTGATAGGTTTAGTTCACCCTGCACTGATCAAACCTTTAAAGTTCACTCACTCTGAGAATTCGTTTTGTTTGCTTTTCCAGCAAGTGAACAGGCACGCGAACGTGTTGAGCCCCGAGCTGGTGACATCACTGAAAGAAGTGAAGGAGAGAGTGGTCCAGGTCAGCCTGACCAACTCCATCTACTGGAATGCTCACACTTTCGCTCTGACAGAATCCGGGAAGCTCTATGCGTTCGGGGCGGGGGATAAAGGTCAGCTCGGGGTAGAGCTCGTGAACAACCAGACTGAAAGGGGCAATCCAGAAAGGGTGGATGTTGATCTGAGCTAAAACTAAGAACAAAATAACAGGAGAAAAAAAAGGCCATAGCTTGCACATAGCAACACAGCAAAATGGCTTTGCATCTGATGATTTGGGGGATTTTTATAACTTATGAATTCATGCATCCATCAATCTCTTAGGAACTTGCATTTGGCGTCGTTCTTAAGGATCATTTGTCTAGATTTGGGGTTTAATGTTTATGGTGTAAATAGAAGGAACAGACAGTACAGAAGAACTGTGAAGGGTTTTTCTTCTCTTTTGTTAATTTGGGTTTAGGGTAGTAGGGTCAGGGGAGGGTCCCAGAAAAAAGCTCAGCAAGCTGATAACTGCGCCATGGCTAATGGTCAAATGTGGGGCACTGGTAGTTATGGGTGTCTTGGGGCTCTCTTGACCCAAACTTGTTAATAGCTCTTTAACATTTCATTAATAACTTGTTAGTTTGCCTCCATGAAAGCTTCACCAGCAGTCTGAGTTGTGGGCTGATTGTGTCGATATGGACAATGATTTCAGCAGCTGCTGCAACCTGCAAAATTCTTTTTAACTCAATGGGTTCTTGAACAACTGTAATGGTAAACAGGATGGCATTAAACCCTTTGGAAGCTTCAACAAGCATTTGGTCTTGTGAAGCTTTCAGTGGCAGCCAGCCAAGAATCAATAAGCAGAACAGCAGAAGAAGCAATTTAATAGTAACAAACCAAATCTGGCCTTAGGCTTTATCAGAAGTCCCAAGAAATGTCTGCTCATAAACATTTTTAAGTCTTGGTGACCATAGCCACCACGGAATTGACTATTGAGGTTCATTGGGAAGACAACCCCTATAGTGACAGGAAATTGGCATCTAGCCTGCTTATTTGTCCCATTATCAATGCCACTTGTCCTTTGAGCAGGTGGCGTAACTACAGGGTAAATTTTGCATCAGTTATTGATCATAGGATATGCTTCTCAGAGGTGTGGCTTAGCTTCATAGTCCATATGTTAGAAACAAGGTTTCTAACATTTGTAGAATTGGGGAATTAGCTAGACCAACTAGGGATTGATCAAGCTAGGGATTAGAATTAGGGAATTTAGGAAGAAGAAAGGGGAAGGATGGCTGCCGATCGGCCAAAGAGAGAGGGAAAGAGAGAGGAAGTTCGGCGCTAGGGAGAGAGAGAGAGAGAGAGAGAGAGATTAGGATTTAGGTTTTCTGTAATTGATTGCTTAATGACAAAATAACTCCTACTGCAGATTATATAATCCGCAAAATACCTAACTGCTACCCATAAAACGAAAATACCCCAAATGGTCCCCCAATTATCAAAACCGACAATAATACGAAATAATGAAAAGCTGTAAAGTGTTTGTTTCTAACATCTCCGCCTCCTTGGGAAACAACCTTGTCCTCAAGGTTGCGGCTTCTCTTGCTCTGCTCCGGGTTCCTCCACCATCTCATCCTCCGCCTCGTCTTCCCATCGTCCCACCAAGAACATCAAATCAGGCTTCCCGCACTTGTGACCAAAGGTAAACCGCTCGTCACAGTTGAAACACTTCCCTTCCCGCCTCTTCTGCTCGATCTCGGCCGGAGATAGCGTCCTAAATCCCTTGGGTGGTGGCCTCGGTCCCGTTCGAATGACAGCCGCAGGTGGGCCAGCCGCCGCACCCCCTCCCGAACTAGGCCCCGATGCAGCTCCACTCGTTCCCCCACTCGCGCTGCTACCACCGCCTCCTCCTCCGGCCGGCTTCTGGTAGCGGCCTATCACGCCCCGCCAACTAGCCAGCTCCTCCTCCTTATTACCTGCAAGACGGAAAACAGCTCGAAGTGAATCGGGCTCAAATACCCGCACAGCCGCGGCGATCTCTGGCCGGAGTCCCGCCATGCACAGACCCACCAATGTCTCCTCCGGTACGCCCTTGCACTGGTTACCCAGTTTAAAGAACTCTGCTCGATACTCCGCCACTGTACCAGTCTGGCGCAGCTTCGCCAGCTGCTCCGGGGCCCACCCTTCCGACTTGCCAAACTGATACCTCAGCTCCTCCTTGAACATCGGCCAGGTAATCAGCGTTCGAGCTTCAGCATAGGTCCGCTCCATCCATTCCCACCACTGCAATGCATCCCCCTCTAAATAGAAGGACGCCAACTGAGCCTTCCGTTCCTCTCTAGTGGGATGGTTCTTGAACCACCGTTCTGCGGAGTATAGCCACAGACCTGCATCCTCCCTGCCATTGAATTTTGGGAACTCAATGGTTGGGGGCTTAGCTCGAAACACCATGTCATCTTCCTCCTCACCACCTCGGGAGTAACCAGCGTGCCTCCCATACCCCGGCGCCTCGCGGTGATAATGCTGCGAGTACCGGTGTCCCCCTTCATACTCCCACTCTCCTTCCACCTCCTCTTGATGTCCCCGTCCTCGGCCCATCTCATTTCTCTGCCTCTGATCACCAGTTCCTGATCCCATGAATTCCCTACCAGTGCCGTGCTGATTCACAAACGGCGGTTGATTGCCACTAGGCTCGTCAAACTGACCTTGGCGAGCCGGAAAGCCCCTGCTGCCCGTTCCCCCTTGGCGCGCCAGCTGCTGCCCTGGTTCGGTCCTGGTCCGACCGGGTTCGGTCCGACCGGGTTCGACCCGACCACTTGGGCCCCTGCTCGACCCCGCCCGGCCCGCATACTCGGCCCGGCCCGCGGGTCCCCGGCCCATGGAGCTCAGCCGACCCACCTCCCAACCGCGGTCCGCTTCTCGCCGCTTCCCACCTGGCCCGCCTTCCGTCCCAGCTCGGCCCATATGGCTTCCTTCATCCCTGTTATAATCCTCCCCGGGCCCATTCGGCTCATTGGGCCACGGCTCATGATCATACTCCTGCTCCAAGCCCATCAACTCTTCTTCATCCAAGCCCACGTACTCTGCCATCTTGGCCTTGCCCCGCGCGCGCGCCTTCTCCTGGGCCGAGGGGGTCGGAAGCAGCCCATCTTTGATTGTTGGGCCAAAGGAGACCTGGCCCGCACGCAACCCCAGCCGGTTAGGGTTGGCCGCCGCGCCGCCCTTCTCACCCCGCCCCTCCGCCGCCGTGTTCGCCGAGGCCCGCGCGGCGCCGTGGTCGCCGGCCGCCTCCACCGAAATCGACCCCTCCCCTGGCGCGCCGTCCTCCCCGTGCAACTGGCCGCCGCCGCCAGCTTCGATCCCTGATTTCTTCAGGGCCGCCACCAAGTCACCCACCTGTCCCGCCAGTGCCTTCACAGCTCCTGTCAGAGCATCAAGGGTTTGGCCTTGCTCCCTAGCCCTCTCCTGCAGTTCTCCCAACTCTTCCTCCACCCGCGCCTGTCTCCTCGCCTGCGCCTCCAGATCCCTCCTCAACTCCTCATTGCCGGTCAGATCCTCCACAGCCCCATCGACCCCGTCGTCACCTGCATCGGCGCCCTTGTCACCCGCCTGATTCGCCTTCTCCGCTCTGTCTGCTGCCTTCATGGATTTCGTCGTTACCATCGTTGGTTCTCCGGTTTCTAAGCTGTCCCTGACGGAGTTGGGAAGAACTCTCCGATCGGAACCGGGCTCTGATACCAGATGTTAGAAACAAGGTTTCTAACAGTTGTAGAATTGGGGAATTAGCTAGACCAACTAGGGATTGATCAAGCTAGGGATTAGAATTAGGGAATTTAGGAAGAAGAAAGGGGAAGGATGGCTGCCGATCGGCCAAAGAGAGAGGGAAAGAGAGAGGAAGTTCGGCGCTAGGGAGAGAGAGAGAGAGAGAGAGATTAGGATTTAGGTTTTCTGTAATTGATTGCTTAATGACAAAATAACTCCTACTGCAGATTATATAATCCGCAAAATACCTAACTGCTACCCATAAAACGAAAATACCCCAAATGGTCCCCCAATTATCAAAACCGACAATAATACGAAATAATGAAAAGCTGTAAAGTGTTTGTTTCTAACACCATATTATATCAATCCAAGTGAAAATCTGGGCTGGTCTATTGTTTCTGAAATTTTTGGATGGTACGATTAGGAACTATCAAACATGGCAGAGAACTGCAAGAATGGCTCTCAAAATGAAATACAGATTGCATTTTATCAATGACTCACTCCCTATGCAAGATCGTAGTGGATTGTTGAATTGGATTGGTGGATCAATGAATCAAATGAATTGGCGGATTGAATCATGGATCCAAAAAAGCATCTAATCAGTGGTTGATATGTTTGTCGAGTTGCAATGCAGAGTTGTGCATGGCAGCAAACCATGCGATTGGAGCAGACGAAGAAATAAGAGGAAAAAGGGAATCAAACTCGGGTCAGAAGAACAAATCCATTGTCACTATGACTTGGTCGTTAGTCACGGTAAGTGAATTTTAAATTACAGTTTAAATTACCATTATGTTTTTACTGTAAATGAACTTTATCAAGTATAAATAATAAACTCTTACAAAAAATAAGTATAAATAAGAAACAAGAGAGTACTCTGGTCTCTGTGATTTGCTCACCAATTCATCATCTTCTTCCTCTATAAGCTACTAAACCTAGCAGCCCTATCTTCTTAGGAACGGCAAGTAAGAGATAAAGCCAGAGTACCAGCCTTAATCATGGATGAAAATGCTGAAATGCAAGCTTAGATGACATAAACAAATCAACAGTAGCTCTACGAGCGAAGAGCCTACACTCGAAATGGTCTAGAAAACACGGCATCGCTTCTCAACCGTATGAGTGGTAAAAGCAACACGCAATCAACCCTAGTGGTAAAATGTAATTATTCAAGGTGAATCTTTGGGTTTTCTTGTTCTGCGGTTAACAAGCAAAAACTGCTGCAGCAGAGGCATTCGGGAATTAGAGAATGTATGACACTAACTCTTAAGACTCCATGGAGGAGTTTCTCTTCTTCTCTTGCTCGAGTCGCTGCAGTTGTTCCAATCTTTCTGCCCACGCCCTATCCCTCGCCACAGCAGCCATTTTGCGGTCCACTCTCGCGGCCATTTTCCTCCTGTTAGCTGCCTGCAACTGAACTTTCCTCTTCTTTGCCTCCGTCTGTTCAAGTTTTAAGTTAAACACCACCACAGGTTTATTCATGTCCGTTAATCTAATCCATCCCAATGAAGAAAGTAATGCACTTCGGTGATTTCTAACGTCGTAATGGGCCCTAAGATAGTTGCAACTGATGTAGTTAGTAATGACAGCCATCAAACATGCATCAGAATTGTACAAGATTCATGCTTTTGAAAACTCTCCAAAGTTATCGAGACAACTAATTCTTGACAGAGAAAGCCAATAATGTCTGCACTGTTTCTCTATATGCTGCTCAAACCCATTGTTCAACTGTTGAATTTCAAGTTATCTAGGCACAATCCAGCAACAATCAAGTCGAAACTAAAGCCAATTCGATACGTACCTTCACAAAGGCGCGGTGTAACATTCTACGCTTCTTCTCGTTCCTTCTCTTGACACTTCCTTCATTAGGGTTACTGGGTTTAATCGGCTCTCCAGCATCATACTTCACCCAAGCAAATGCCCCTACACAATTGGGGATCACAGTTCAAGTGATCAAGTCCTACCCACCCCAATTCAAGTAAAAAGCCTCACAAAGTAAGAACCTTTAAGTAAGCCACCGGTAGCAGAACCATAATTAATCAATTCCTCATCATCCAACGCCCAAATTCGTTCTAAACAAAGCAGCAAGCAGGTAATAAACGTTACCGGCAGGTCTCAAGCCGGCCCTTTTCCGGCGAGGTTTATCGAGTGGCCGGCGCTTCGGCAATCTCGTGTCCGTTAACCTGTCGTAACCAGACTCTGAAAAGAAACTGAAATGACGCCACAGCTGCTGCTGGCCCAACAACGGTGGTAAAGGTGCTTGACGGAGGCGGAGACCAAATTGGCATTCGGGTTTTCCCGCAACCCAAAATCTCGAATTGGAAGCAGTGGAGGCGCCGGATGCAATAATCCTTCTGGCCTATGAAAAAGCTCAATGAGCTTAGGGTTTGTAGAGGAAGAAGAGAGTGAAGGCGGCACAGAATGAGGGGAACCCGCAAGAAGTGATTCTCCTCTGCTACTTTTCATTTATACTCAACAGAAAGGTAAAGTTCAGTACAGTAAAAATGGAACCAGTCCGTTAAAACAGAAATACGAAAAGCAGTAAATAAATGCGCCACTTGTCATCGTGTAATTGGCCCTTCGTTGCTCCACCTAACGTTCACTGAGAAACCTCCACGACGTCGCTTTGGTATTCGCCTTAAACATCAGATGGAGGGGAAGGCAGAAACGTTTCGTTTCTGCCTGGTTCGTTTCTTCTTCAAACTTCAAGCTCGCGCCTTCTGCAAGTGACCGTTGAAGGTCAGTCGTCTTCTTCCTGGACTGAAACCCCCCCGCAAGCTGGCGAGTAAGCATTGAAGACTCCCAGCTTGTCCAAGAGGAACTTCAGACGATAGCGAGTCACTCCCTTGGTGAAGATGTCAGCAATTTGATCATCAGTCCTCACGTGGCTTAGCTTAATCAACCCAGACTTCAGTCTCTCCCTTGTAACATGGCAATCGATCTCGATATGCTTTGTTCTTTCATGGAAAACTGGGTTTTCTGCAATATGTAAAGCTGACCTGTTATCACAGTAAAGAGGGATTGGAAGAGGAACCTGAACTCCCATTTCCAGCAACAAATTCCTGAGCCACTGAACTTCACAAACAACCTGTGCCAAAGCTCTATACTCAGCTTCAGAAGAAGAGCGTGACACAGTTGTTTGTTTCTTTGTTTTCCAGGTGATAAGGGAAGTTCCCAGGAAAGTGCAATAACCAGTCAGAGATCTTCTTGAATCAGGGCAGCTAGCCCAATCTGCATCACAAAACCCTGACAATTCCAATTTCGAATCAGACCTGAAAATTAGACCTTGCCCTGGTGTGTGCTTCAAGTACCTGATAACCCTATGAGCAGCTTGAAGGTGTTCAACAGTTGGTGTGCCTTGGAATTGAGCCAACTGCTGAACAGCATAGGTGATATCAGGCCTGGTGATAGTCAAGTAGTGGAGTTTACCAATCAATCTCCTGTAAACAGTAGGATCAGGCAAAGCTTCACCTTTTGTAGCTGTCAACTTCAAGTTACAATCAACAGGGGACAAACACCCTTTTGCTTCAATGTACCCTGCATCAGTAATTAATTCCAGACAGTATTTCTTCTGACTCAAAGAGATCCCTTTATGATCTCTTAAAACTTCCAAGCCAAGAAAGTAACTCATTTGGCCAAGGTCCTTGACCTTAAATTCCTTCCCAAGGAACAGTTTTAACTGCTCAATGTCACCCAAATAACTGCCTGCAATCAAGATGTCATCAACATACACAAGGACCACAACAATTCTGCCCTGAATCCATCTCACAAACATAGAATAGTCTGAAGATGTCTGAGAATACCCATTCTTCATTAATGCAGTAGTTAGTTTGGCAAACCACTGCCTGCTGGCCTGCTTGAGTCCATAAAGAGACTTCTTAAGTCTGTAAACAAGGCCTTGACCTCTAGGAACATTAGCTCCAGGAGGTATTTCAAGATAAACCTCTTCTTCTAAGTCTCCATGCAGAAATGCATTGGAGACATCCATTTGGTGAATGTGCCAGTCCTTTGAAGCTGCCACTGCCAACAAAGTTTTCACAGAATTAATCTTGGCAACAGGTGAGTATGTGTCAAGGAAGTCAATTCCATAAATTTGTGTGTATCCCTTGGCAACAACTCTGGACTTAAACCTCTCAATAGTCCCATCTGACTTGTGCTTAATCTTGAACACCCATTTGGAACCTACAGCTTTCTTACCCTCAGGTAACTTCACAACTTCCCAAGTCTGGTTCTCTTCCAATGCTGCCAACTCTTCATTACAAGCCTGGTTCCACCTGGGATCTTTGCAGGCTTCAGCATAGGAAGTAGGTTCCACTTCCATCATGACACTAAATGCAAATGATCTCTGTGCAGGAGTAAGGTTTTCATAGGAGAAGTTCTTCCAGATGTGATGTTTGGAACATGATGCAGTAATATTAATGTCATAATCTTTGTGCCATGCTGGGACATTTCTGGTTCTAGTGGATTTTCTGAGGAGTTCAGCCTCATTAGAATCATCATCATCAGGGAAAACTTCAATCTCAACCTCCCCCCCACCAGAATGCAAACCAGGAGACTCTGAACAGGAAGGTTGTTTAGAAGAAGAAGGAGAAGAGGAAGGAGTTGGAGATGGAAATGGACTATGAGAAGGAGGTGAACTGGGGGCATTCTGGGAAGTGGATGTGTTAGGTGATGAGGAGGAAGAAGGGCTATCTGAAGGTACGGGTGACAAGATAGGAAGAATAGGATCTGAAATGAGAGAAGTGGTATTAGAAGAGGAGGAAGAAATGTGGAATGGTAGAATTGTCTCATAGAATGTGACATCTCTAGAGACAAAGAAACTGTGAGAATTGAGATCATAAAGTTTAAAACCTTTAATCCCAGAAGGAAAACCAAGGAAAATGCATTGCCTTGCACGAGAATCAAATTTGGTCCTATCCCTATGCAAGGTGGCAGCATAGCATAAGCAACCAAAAACTCTTAAGCCAGAGAGGCTAGGAGGTTTGTGGTAGAGTAGTTCATAGGGGGAGGTGTTGTTCAGGGCAGAAGTGGGGATTCTGTTAATGAGATACACAGCATGCAACACACAGTCACTCCAGAATTGAAGGGGAACTCCAGATTGAAACCTCAGTGATCTGGCAACATTCAGTATATGCTGATGTTTCCTTTCAACCCTGGCATTCTGTTCAGGGGTCTCAACACAAGAAAGTTGATGCTCAATCCCATTAGCAGCATAGAATTCTGCCATGTGAAACTCACCTCCCTGATCACTTCTAACAACCTTGACATGTTTTGAATACTGCTTAGACACCATCACACAGAATGATTCTAACAGTTTACTAGCTTCAGATTTATACTTCATCAAGTAAGTCCAGACACCTCTTGAGTAATCATCAACAATTGTTAGAAAATAGGAGTAACCATCATGTGATTTAACAGCCAATGGACCCCAGATGTCCACATGAATAAGAGAAAAAGCATCCTGTGCACGAGAAGAACTAACAGGGAAAGGAAGCCTTTTGTGTTTGGCAAAATGACAAGTTTCACAGTGTAAACTAGAGATCCTATTACATGGTACTAATAGTCTCTCTTTCTCTCTGTGAACATGTCCAAGTCTCCAGTGCCACAGGTCAAATGTTTGAGGGGAGAAGTTGTAGATGGCTGCTGCCTGAGGTTGTGAATGAGATGATGAAGGAGATGGGGTAGTCTTGAAGTTTAGTTGATATAGGCCTCTAATCTGCTTTGCCAAACCAGTCCTGTTGAGGGTCATTAGGTCCTGAATTTGGCAAGAGTCAGATTCAAAGTGTAAGGATATTGGTAAGTCATTGGTAAGTTTACTCACAGAAACTAGGTTGAATGAGAAACTGGGCACAAGAAGGACATTATCAAGTACTAGTCCTGAAGGAAGTTTAACTCTCCCTATATGACTCACAGAAACTTTGGTTCCATTAGGCAGGAAAACAAATTGATTCTGAACTGGGGTGGACTCAAAGAAGAGATCTAGGCTGCATGCTATATGGTCAGAGGCACCAGTGTCGAGTATCCATATACCAAGCAACCCATTAGATTGTTGTGGAAGGTAAGAGGAGAGAATGTATTTACCAGCATGGTTTGGAAAATGAGGAATGTGCTGTGCCACTGAGAAAGCATGATGATTAATGGAGGGAGAAGCTGGTGGAGATGGGCTTGGTGAAGGTGGGACTGAGTTCAGGAGGAACCTCAACTTGTTCAACTCTTCAGAAGATAATCCAAAACTGCCACTGGAGGGTCTAGTATCAATGCTGAGTTTGGTTTCTGAACTAGCAGTGTCACTGTCAGTGGAAGAGTCACTTTGAGAAACAGCTGCAGCCACATTTCCTCCTGCCACCCTTGCCTTCTTGCGTTTGAGACTGTAACATTCATCAATGGTATGGTTTTCTTTCTTGCAGTACCTGCAGAACTTCTTCCCATCAGAAGTAATATCCATACCCTTCTGTTGATTACTTGAATTCCCTGTAACAGCAAGTGCTACAGTTTGAACTCCCTTAGTCCCTCCAGCCTTGTCTCCTTTAATCTTCTGTTCATGCTGCAATAAGTCATTTACAGCACTGTCCACTGTAGGAAGTGGCTTCATCATCAGCAGCTGTGTATGCACAATCTCATATTCAGGTCTTAACCCTTTCAGAAAGCGGATGAGATATTCCACTTCCTGCTTCTGCTTAAAAGCTTCCACAGCTGCACAAGGTCGAGTGCGTTGTGCCACACAATCACATTCAACTATAGGGTTAAACTGTGAATTTTCTTCCCATAGTCCCTTGAACGCTGTGTAATACTGTGTGATATTCATGGATCCTTGCTTACAAGCAATGATCTGATCCTGAAGATTAGCCAATTTAATGGCATTTGGAAGCCCAAATCTCCTTTTCAGCTCTTCCCAGAGAACCTGGGCATTCTCATGCTGCATAACACTTCTTCTAATTTCCTTCTCAATTGAGTTAAGAATCCAGCATAGAACCAAAGTATTCGAAGCATCCCATAACCCAAAAGTAGGATCATCAGCAGGTGGCATGACAATCGTACCATCTATGAATCCTATCTTGTGTTTAGTCTTCAAAGCCATACGAATTGCTCGTTGCCACATTTGGTAGTTTGAACCATCAAGGTTTTCAGAAACAATCGACTGTGAGATGTTTTCATTTGGGTTTATGTAAAATGGGTTACCAAAAAGTAGATCTGCTCGTCCATTGTTGTTGTTGGTTGTCCCGGTGTTGTTGCTTCCCCCACTCGTCTGACCATCGAAGCTGCCAAAAGGAATTGCTCCAGCATTGAGTGGAGTGCCACCAGGAGTGTTTGGACGAGGTGTATTCGCCATTGCAAATCACTGGAACTGTTCCAGCTCTG